CTCTACATCAAATACGGAAACACATTCATATGCACTGTTAAATAAAATTTTTTAAATCTTGGCACTTTTCGACATACAAATACCGTGGCAAGACTGATTTCCAAAGTTCATAACAAGCAGTACACTCTAAACTAAATTCGCTATACGGGGATGTGCCGCCAACCAGGGTATCGTTTTGAGCGATTTTACTCTGGAACTGGGCATCGATTTCAACGAATTTTCTCTGGAACAGGGTCAGGGTTTAATTCCGGAATTATTGATGCTGGGTAAAAATTCACGGGGTAAAAATTCGGTCTACAGGCGAGCTAGTGCTGGAATTTTCTCCGGAACAGGGTATCGTTTTCAGCGATTTTACTCTGGTAAAAGTATATCAGTACTGCTTCTGTGAAATATTTCTGAAAATCTTTACCTCGCAAAACAGTTTAAAACAAAATTTGGATACTGCTTATAACTATATAAAAATAGCTACAAATTTGACCGAAATTAATTTCACCTCAAGAATTACAAGATTTTTGAAAAAAAAAATTATATATATTTGTGGAATAACCCAACAACTTATCACTTTACGCTGAGTAAGTTTTAAGATCTAAATTTTTTATTTTTTATCATTAACTTTTTTAGGATTTTTTATTCTGGCAGCATGCCTTAGAACCTAGTGTTCCCGTTTCGTCATCATTGTTGGCTACGTATCTCTTATGTGTATCGTTGGGAGTTGGTATTGAAGCGCCTGCACGGCAATAGTGAGATGGATAGCCTTCCATAGAAATTGCCCGTGTCAAGAGAAGTGTTTCTGGCCCGCAACACAGTGCCTCCTCAATGCTAACCGAGATCGACAGTCCGTATCCTTGAAAAAGTGCGAAAGGACAGTCATATAACAGTGTTGCATCGCGGGATGGCCAAGTAACATCCTGAAAATTGTAACGAATATTGTGTTGCATATCAGCTGAGTTTTCAGAAGTAACTTTTTATCCTGGGCATAGAACCGGAAGCACGGGTTAACAGTACAAAGCGTTCAATCCAAGATAGCCACTCTCTAGGGACCAAATATGGCTTATTGTGGATCTTACTTAATTTTGGCTCAGAAGAACTCAAAGGTGAGTTCGGTGAGTGTGCATGGCGCATGCACACACCAGCGTTTATTAAACCTTGCTCAATTAAGACTCCCATCAATGTCATTATCAGTTAAGTATCAACAATATAAAAAATGAACCATGCTCAGTTAATTGTGATGGTAACTCTACTGAACGAAGTTTTAAAGCTGTGAAGAAATCAAGTTACAACATGAAAATTTATCACAGAAATTACCAGTGTGTGTTCCTAATTACTGTGCGCATTATCAGATTGTCGCATATATCTCATAAATTCGAACATTCACTCAAGTATTTTAATACTTAAAAGGGTTTAACTTTTAGATCACGTTAATTATACTGTTTTAAAAGATACTAAGCCGAGTTATATCGTGAATAAAGGTTCTTGCCTGTGGCTCTTTTATACCAAATAAAACGCCGCTCCTCGTTTTTAAATGCAGTACATGTTCTTTCTGATTACAATAACTCGTCCATAATGACTCAAAAGATGTCGCTAAAGGTTCAGCATATTCGAACAGGAGTATCTAGGTAATTGTTTCCTCTATAAGCCTTACGGGAAGAAAGCGTACTAAGACCACGTTCAGATACACTTTCATTAGGGTGATAAAAGGCTATCAGAACGCCCTCAGAACCAAGATACTTTTGAATCATGCATTTAAGAAGTGCCGGCTTTTTAATATCGAAGAAAAGCAAGTCCATCATCCCCACCCTCTAGACGATAAACACACGATGAATAAAACAAATGGAATGGAACATTCGAACGATATTGCTCCTAATTGAAATTGTGAGTCCTACGATTTCGAGATCAATCTTTAAAACAATGAGCTCTGTCTTTAAAACTCTCGTAAAACTACTTTTATATGCAATTAACTAATCCCTCAAAGGCGAAACGTCTGAAATAAAATGCCATAGTACAATTGTGAATTCAGAAGTCTTAACTTTTATACTATATATCCAAATCATGGCTACATAAGTATTTTTATCTTTAAAACATGGCGTTTTCTAAGTTACAATTGCCCTATCGCATAATTACGTCACAACAAAACATTCCATTGTTTTAACGCTGAGGATTATGGTCGCCAGAGGGGAACAGAGTGACTGCATATCAAATAAAATGTTGATGAGCTATCATTGATAAATGACGTGCATCAAAACTCGATACACTAAAGTTCTACTTTTGGGAAAAATGTTAATAGGTCCAAATTTCGAGTCTTTCTGAGCCTGATCTATCGACAATGTAAACATACTGTGACGTCATTATGCCATAGGGCAATTCAAGAACCACATATGAAAAAATCTCCTTTTGAATACCGTATGAGCAAAGTCGTATGCATGTCGCGTAAGTGACTCCATTTAATGATTAGCCAATGAGCGAACCTCCGTCAGATTTTTTTAAATCTAGGATTTTGTATCAACACGTATGGCAGGCAATATCCATACATTAGACTTAAGACGGTGCAGCGACATCGATTTCATTTAATACACACTAATCTATACAAGGTACCTTTGGTAATATTAACCCTTGTAGACTCATCGTCCTATTTTGTTAGGGTGAACATGTTAAGAAATATCAAAACCCATTGCAATGTGATACGATAAACAGATATTTTGGCCCTTTTTTCACAGTTAACAGATTCTTACCTTCTCGAGAACTTATTAGTTTAAACTTCGATTAAGTTCCTCTTTATTCCTTCGTTTCGCCTATCCTTTCTTCTTGTATCAGACTATTTGAACCATAATATACAGTAAGGTTTATCATATTAATGTGGCTTATTGAGATGACATCATACTAATCCCACATCCACAAGTACTTCACTGGATATATAGTCTCAGAGCAGTCGAAAGTATCGATAACTTTATGTCGATAATCCAGAGAGAAAGCCACTTTAATGATCTCTAAGTGTCTTAGCTTAAATGTATACGTCTCCACACAAATTCTTGTTTCACTCATCAACATGTCTCTCCGTTTGTTAATTATTTTACACTGATTTAATGGTAAAAACGTTGTCATACAGAGACTGAGAACATTCAAGTGTATTCTAATGGAAAAAAGAATATCTAATTCGTATTTATTGAAAATAAAAAGTGAGCTTTGACGCTTATTACATTATAAGCGTTTGTCTTAAAGACTTAAGGTGAATTGCATCGAACTTCGTCAACAAGCTCTACTAACATCCCGACAGTAGTAGTACTTTTTTTGTACTATTGAAGAGTTTTTCATAGGAAAACAAAGCAAAATGTCATTCTACAATTTCAATTTTCAATTATATTCATGGTATATGCTATCTCATCTTCAACGGACAATACAACTTTATTGAGCATACTATTCAGACGGCTATTTGAAAGCAAAGTCTAGAGGATCTGTTGTTGAAATTTGCTTTCTATTCCACAGGCACACGGGATGAAAAAAAAAACCTTTCAGGGAAAAAGTTAAGACAAGTTAAGTTAAGCACAAAGAACTAGACTTCATCCATAAATCATTCAAGATGCCGACATTCCGTATTTGACAAAAGCGTGCAAAGGTTTTCGGATGAACATGGACCTATTGAATATTCAACGTAAGTAGGCCATGTAAAAATTGTATACACTTACTTGCAAGAAAAAACACCCCAAATATACTGAGCCCCTGTAGCAGATAATGCTATTTCTTGAGTGAAAATAAGAACGGTAGAACAGTGAATATTCTAAATACGTTTGATAGCCAATTTTACTGATTTTATAAGTGACATTTTTAACCTCCTTCAATAAACACTCAAATCAATTTATTTGCAATTTATTTGAGTAGTAATAAAGGTAGTGGATTAGCCCCCAGGCTAGCGATTGAGGGGGACGAGGAGGAGGAATGAGTAGGAGGTTGAGGAGGAGTAAAGGACTTCCGAGAGAGGATTTACGGGAATGTCTTCCAGAGTAGGAGCTCTAGGCGTGTTAACGATGGGTTAGGAGTTTGCAAACAGTCTTTCTTTAATAAAAAGTCGCTTAATTTGAGTCAAGAAATGTTAACATTTCACGGACCTCAATGAATGTCGTCATCGACCCCAATAATTTGGCTCTCAAATTGTTTTCTTAATTATTTTTTGCTCCATCTTGAAAGGTAACGGTACCTTCACATCAAAGTTAGACAACCCGGTTCTTAAAAATGATAAATATCGCAGTGAACAATTGTCTGTGGATCTTCTCGCTTCTATGAAAAGGCAAGGATAATATAGTAGAGTACCAGCACAGTAGAGTACAATGGAAGAAGCGATGGCCAATCAGCGTAAAGAAAAATAGTCTCARTGCAGTATACTTATCAGAGCACAACTTATAGAAAATAATTGAAAATGATTTAATTGTTAAAAATACTATTTCATATAATCTCTAATTACAGTTCAAAAATTCTGACCAATAACATGCATCATGAGTATAGTTAGGTGTCTTTCGCTCTTTTCTTGCTAAAGCACATCGCAAATTATTCGAATACTTTGATATTATGTTAATAATTACCGTCTAGATTTTCCTCAATTCAATTGATTGTAGTAATATCGTAAAACAAAGAAATAGTCATGATTGATGTTATTGGAAAAGCTTTTAACAATGCTATGTGTGTAGGTTATGATTGTCGAAGCGATTGAACAATAAAATACCGCCCCGCGAGAAAATCCATGTACCAACTAAACCATTTTCAAATTAATAAGACAAATTGCTGACAAGAAAATTGAGGATGCCAGAAAAAATTCAACGAAATTAACTGTGTCTTGTCGACCGACGACACACGTACGCCACGGCTCTGTTTTGTCATGCGCAATACTTGGGCAAATTTTATAGTAATACATGTAAATGGTGCTTTACAGAGAAGACTGAACGGCCGAAGGGAATTATGGTTACCGCATTTTAGCCCAGTATTGGAGCACAATGGCATTTAACTTACAAAGCTCCTCTTCACAATTATCATGGCTTTACGTGGACACCTTTGCTACCGAAATACTAGACATGGAAACGTCGATCAAACGGTATTTAATGTAGCCGACTAGTCGCTTTATATGTAATATATAATTCAGTTCCTTCCGGCTGTGCAATCAGTATTAGACAATTACCATTCTCCCCTCTCATTCTATTTCCCACTCTTCGATAATCTTAGTCGCACCTTAACTTTGATTCCTATAATGCCTATACAATGATATTGCCTATCTTCTGTAAACTAGAACGATTCTTTTTTAATTCGATGGTATGTTTTGAGTGTGAAAAACTTCAGTTGTTGTTGGCTCATAACGACCTTAGATATATTCTCTCTAAACTATAGGAAATCCCTGACCTCTACACGTGCCATATTGGTTCTAAAACAACGTTTACCATATTACAGATATTGCAATAAATATATTATATTAGTTAATGTTAACAATAATTTATACATTTATTTCCTTTACGCTGTTGATCGAAATTTTTCAATATCTATACTTTTGAGAGATCTATTACAAAAATCTCAAAAGAAAAATGATTCAAGTCATGAAACAGAACACTCACTTTATCAAGAATTAAGTGGATATGGAAAAGAACACGAACATGAGAATCTCTTTGTTTCCATTAAGATACTTATGAAGCACTTAAACCAAAAACTTTGCAGACGGCAAATTATGGCTGGTTAAATCTTCGTAAAATTCAAACTTCTATTTACCTTGAATCACTTAGCGAGCCAAGTTGAAGTCGAAGACTCACAAACCTTCTTAGTTCAAGTCAGATCTAACATCTCAACAAAGATGTCGGACTCACAGCTGCACGGCGAGATATTTATCACTACAAACGTCTTCAATGCGAATAAGAGTCTCCGTTTAAAGCTGCGCTACTAGTAGACCGAGTAGCTTTTATTAAGTGCTGTTTATATTGGCGAATAATTTCTATCGTAAAGTAGTTACTGCTCTAACCCCAAGGACAAACAACTCATCGGAAAATAAAGTAGAATAAAAAACATGAAAGTAAAACTGACGCGGTTTATATAAAAAGGAAACCTTCCAAGCCCCAATTGTTTGTACTGCGCTGTATGGCGGCTCCTGTAAAGGATATCGAAATATAGAATACATATGAACAMTGCGATAAGTATTGGATGTAAATGTAGTTTTTATCATTAGACAGTTTATGAGGCAGCGCATCTCCACCGTAATGGAGTATTGATCGCTCAAATGAGGAAATCAGACGGGGTGCTTTGTACTGGTTCGTATAGCGCAGTATATTAAGTATAGCTTAGATGAAAATAATTTGAAAGGCAGTCATTTATTCACTCAATGAAAACACCTCGGTAAACTAAAGAAAGCAACACTTCCTATCATAGGTTGGTAATAATCATTGTTTTTCCATGATGTATATCTCTATGATTCGGTGTTTTCGTCAAACAAATGGTTAGTTACGTGGATGTAGATGACAAACAATTGTAATCTAAATATACAGATGAATCATTGCCAAAGGAAAAAAAAACTAAATATGAAAACTGCAATTTAGGAATGTGGCCAGCGGGAAATACACAATCAGCGGTTGGCGAAACACCTAGTCTTCGTAGGCGAAGGTTGGTCGCCATGTTCTATAGTCAGCATGGACTTATAAAAATCCGGCACTTGAATCATGATCAATATCCATAAAGATGGTCAAAATAAAATTCACTCCTGAGCAGTCTCCAACTTTTGACCAATCAAACAGTACGTTCATCATGTCATTGAAGTCAAAAGTGTAGATATGATCAGTCTCATCAATGTCTCCAAGCAAGCTGCCTACTGTAAAACTTTACCTAAAAAAACAACAGATTTTTCTTCACTTGTTTCTTAATAAAACTTCTTCGCATCATATACAAGTGTAAGTTCAATTTGGAAATAAATATACATGAGAGACTTTCCAAAAGTAACAATGTTCACCGGCCTCCGTGTCTCCGTGTCTTTTGACCTCTGTTTCCTTGAAAGAGCACTGCTCTCAGCCAGCCAATCGGAAATGCCTCATGATATTTTGTTTTTAAATGAGAAACAAATTGTATAACTAAAAATGATAAATCCCTGATATAAACTGATTATATCAACTGATTTATATGCAATGTCAGTACTCCACTAGATCTCATGAGTTACCGTATGTCAGACTATTTCCATGCACAACAAGAACAGAAGCGCAACGCAAAGGATCATGGTTACCGCTATTTATTCACTAAACACACTAAAGTACCAGGTAATAATGAACAACACATAAAAAATCTGAAACCCTAAKTGAAGTCTAGACCAGGCTTTATTTTCACGTTCAGTTGCTTTCCTACATTTTCCAAGGTTAATTAATCAGGTTGTTCGTATCCTATAGCTATCCTTCAAGGTATCCTTCCTTCCTTCCTCCCACACACACTTTGTACGGTGCCCAGTGGATTTGTCGGAATTGAAGTGACTGATGTGATATATACAACCACTCATTGTGAATAATATATAAACAAACGCTCACTCACTAGGCCTTAGGATCATTGTAAAAGAAATCGAAAAACAGAAAGCAAAATAATCTAGAGTAAAAATGTGTTAGAAGTCATTGTGAAATAATCAGAAAATGAATTTCTAGTCCGTCGTGATCGATGTTCTACACCAAAATTGCCTATAAACAAAAACAAGCTATTAAAAACCTGTTTTTCTATTGATCATGACTAAAATGAAAACGAGGATCGTCATCATCATCAGCAGCATGAGAATATCATCGATAATAATTCTAATAAAGATAAACGTGGACGACGACAATGATGATGATGATGACATTTTCAAAGACAAAGGTTTGCTTAAACTGTTCGATCTGAGTTGGACAAGAATAGCGAGAGATCTTTAAAAATGCAATAGTGTTGTAAACATGTTTTTATGATGCATGTTAATAGATAAGGAATAAACTCGAGTGTAATTAATATACGTACCATTCATTCCTTAGTTTTACAGATAAGGAAGTTCGCAYAATTACAATAGCTCTAACCAACTAATGTAAAATTTTGAAATAGCTATCTAATAAACTTTTCTAAGATCAGACATTGCAACATAGCTGAGGAAATATGGACTGGCCTTACGCAATATAGGAGATATAGAGTATGTGATAATCCTTGAGCGTCTAATCAATAATTACATAGTCATAGCAAAGATTAGGAAGAAAAGCGGAAACTAAATATTACAAAATCCCAAAACGAAAATAATTCGTTATAATCAGGAAACGTTTTGGAAGTCAGTAGAAGAGACAAACCTATTTTTCTATTAATAATGGTTTATCTACTTTAAGTATCATATTATGAAAATTGACTACATATGTTCCTATCGCAACTGATTGTAGACGAAACCAGATTTGAAAACTGCTCGAGGATAGGTCTATTTCAAAATTAGAAATGAAAGACCTTTGTGACTCATTCAAGCATCCTTTTTGCACAATCATTAATTACAAAAAATGCTGATCAGTGACCGCTGTTATCTGTAGATTCGTTGCAAGGGCGGAATGGAATGATATTATTCACAAATGTAAGTTCTATGTTTCTTTTATCTGATGGATGTGTCGTAGTATGAAATTGAATATAATAGTTACACACGCGATCACGCGACAACATTAAGTTACTGTAAAATGCAACGATTGTTGAAAAATGTAAGGTGTGTCTGCCTGAGGGCGGCGAGTTTTAACATTTGAACCATCGCGGTAAAAACAAAAACAAAAAAACAACTACAGAGCGCTACTGTTAGCGAGCCATTATTTCATTAGTACCACAGTTACCTTACACTTTGTGAACCAGGTGAAAGCGATGGCTTGGACACTCACTACTTATCAACAACTTACTATAAAACAAACAAATCGGATTAGAACAAGCGATCTCATGCGATACAATTGAAACATGCTCACCATTTCAAACTAACACAGTTACCCCCTCTGTAACAAGCATGAATGTTAAGTGTCATATGCATGGACGTGCCCAGGGTCTTGTATTGGGCGAGGAATGTCTACTTACACAATGAAGCAAGGCTTGATTTGTGGTCGATAGGACGCTCAATCTTGAAGTGATTCCAAAGTCCTGTACATTAAGAGCTTATCAATCAAGAAAGTAAACATTGAGCCTATATATGATTTGAAGAATAAAGCTTATTTATATTACTGCATTGTAGGCTGCAGGCATTGACATAGAAGAACATAGAGCAACACTGATGTGGACTGTTCGCGATTGACATGCTCTTCAAGTTGGTGACAAAAGTCTGTGGCTCAATGAATATACTCGGTCGAGATCTCCTGCTTAGTTTTGTAGTCAGTAATAGGATTATGCAACAACTTGGTCGATTGGGATAAGACTACACTTGGTAAGACAACACAATTAAATACACGGATTAAAAACTATCATAGGATGAAGACAGAGATTAGAAGGAACGTCAAGGTTTATAACTCAGACTGACGCAAGTATCCTCGGAAACCCAGTCGGATAATTTCACCCTTTTTTTAACCCCAAAGCGAAAGAAAAATCAAAGTGTCGCAAGAATAAAATCATTAGAGATGAACGTTCTATTAATGGAAAGGAAATCAAAATATTAGCAAAGAGAAAAAAGGATAATAAAAGCAATAAAACAACAAGCCAATAGAATGGATACTCGCAAACCCGTCAATCAATTAAGAAAAGTAGATTGGAGCCTTCAATGTCCTACAGTGCCTTGCAATCTTAACACAAATGGTTCAAAAGCAAACAAATCAACGTGCTTTAATGGACATAGCATTCATAATGAATAGCTGACCGGCGCCTTAGATGTTCACGCGGAAATACGGGAAATAGATGCACCAAACCTATATTCATCACATAATTATCAAAATAATACATAAATAACACGCTATTTCCAATTTTTAAAAATAAATATTTTATTTCAGGCAAATAAAAGTTTGTTTTGTAGGATAATTTGCTTTCATGCCGTAATCATATGAAAAACTCAGGCACATCTGCGGAATATTACATGGCTGCTTATAGAAAGATCTCTCGCGAGTGAGCGCACTGGTCGTTCATGTAATATCCCGTATTTCTTTCCGGTATCAGTTACCTTCTGCACTGCTGTACTGTAAAAATGATTTAAGGTCGACGAAAAGGGCTAATGATTAAAATAGTAAAATTGAAGTAACCGAGCTGTGAAACTTTGCGCTTCTTTTTTTTTCTGTTCAGTTTTTTTTACTACTCTTCGTAAGCGGTATGTTAAGTTTTCACGAGTCAGGTTTGAAAATGCCGACCTTTCAAGACGTGTGTAAATATTGACGAGTATGAGTGTGATATTCGGGGGGGGGGGCATGGATTTGATGTAATGGTTGTCTATCATGACAATATCATTATTTATACATCTGGTTACCTTTCTTTGCTCTTGACCCCTTCAATATTACTTTTACTTGATGTGGTTATTCAAAAGTCTTCACAAAACTTCATAAGAACTTATTTGAATGTGTTTTTAAAATCCGCTTTTTCAAATGATTCAAGGTTTCAGCACTGTTATTTTACAAAATCCTTTCCATATGAAGAATTTATGATTTATTCGATCAGTCATGAATTTGTTTTTGATCCTAAATTTCCTGTTTACTTGCTATTTTTACATTACAACTAAAGCCATTTAAAATCCAACTAGTCGTCATCATAAATCAAACTATATTATACTACGCCCTTAAACCAATTTGGTTGTTTTAATGGCTATATTATGAGAGCTATAAGGTCTAAATTGCAAAGGGAAATGTTTACGCCATGCTGAACTATGTCATGTATTAAGCTCTATATTAACTACTGCCTCTGCTTTTTAGATTACCCGAGTTTCAAAGGTGACACAATTAGGTAGATGTATATTATAAACTCTGAGCCGAAGGAAGTTCAATAGCGTCTTGGATTCAGATGGATTTTAGCTTTAAACATGGATCGCTTGACAATGAATACAATTTCAGTTACCTGGACAAGTTTTTACACTTACCTGGACCTCTGTGTTTTCTACCTGTTTGTTTCAGCTTTGGAACCAAAGGAAGTCATTGTGAGTAAAATGCTTGTGCTATAATGGTTGGTGAATCATACTTCAATTGAGAAGTATATTTTACCCACTAGCGTGTCCACAAAAGTCATGGCTTCGATGCAAAGCATTAATACTGTCCATTATACGAGATACAGCTGAAAACACAAAGAAATGATTATGTAACTGAAAAAAAATGAAACTCGGTAATGCATCAAAGAATATTAGCATCTTTAATTAGGTGCATTTTGAAACCACTATTGATGACTGCAATCTAATTGGCTAATATTGTCGATTATAGACCACAATTCACTCCACTCCTCCAGGCATATGTACAAATAGGCTTTTGTGGTGCTTTTTCGATTATTTTCGGTATCATTATCAAGGAGAGTGAGAGACACCTGTTAGGTAGGTCTTTGGGTTAATGTATAGGCCTTCTTATCTGACAAAGGCGTTACCCGTTTCAGCTTCCAATACAGCAAACCGTCCTTCGGTTTAAAAATGAAACATTTCACTTTGGTATCAGCAGGAAGTAGAAAATAATGTATACATTTCTGGTCTGAAACCCTTGATTGACTGAGCTTTACATAGCTTTATCTACTAGTTAGTGGTATCTGGATCTATTTTAGTCGGCTTCAAGTAATAGATAAATAACCACTGCATTACCGTTTTTTTTCGTTTTGACTTTTTTCTGAACCAACGTCGCTGGTTAACGGCCGGCGAAATGTGCTAGAAAAAAAAAAATAGACAAATAATACATAAAGTAGGTCAGATAAAAAAACTGTGCTAATGTAAACAGCGTTTTAGCAACAGAAGAGGTTAATGAACGAAACCAGTATTGAAGGTAAAGTGACTAAATAGTAGTATGTAAAAGACGGTAAAAGAACAACAATGAAGGTTAGATCAAAAACCACTTGTGCGTTTAAATTATTGATCTATTCTGTGATCATTTTTTGTTTATATTTGCTTATATTTGCATTTCTTAAGCTAATCAATAAATATCAACAACAACAACAAAAATTGTCCAAAATTGATTGATTGACTGATTGATTGATTGATTGATTGATTGATTGATTATTTATTATGATTGATTTTATTTTCTGCTTGTTTTAATTTGCTAAATGATCTATTTCAACTAACTAATGACAATTAAACAAAAAGTATTTGTTTTTGCAAGTTTTCTATCAAAAACTGGTTTACCATGGATGGTTTACAGAGAAAAACATTTTTTCAAAATTCCTCTTAGCTTATTAGCGCGCGCACCTTGCGGTTTTTCATTGATATTGCGCGCGCAATTTGAATTGTTCAAAAAAGATCGTTTAGCACGCGCGCAAACATGCTATGATTCAAAAATGAACAAAGTGGGAACATCAGTATTCGGGTGTTTTCCCAATGAAATTATAGTACAAATCCTTTCGTATATTCATCCCATTTATTCCAATCTTCTACGTTTACGTCTTGTGTGTCGCAAGTGGAAGATTTTGATCGAGAAAACAACTTATTTATGGAGACACATACATCTTGACGATGACAAAGACTGGAAGCCCAATCAAGATGAAAAGTATACACTGGTTTTGAGAGTTTGCCTCGAAAAGTTTGGAAGATTTATTCGGTGTGTCAGAGCAGAAGAGCAGAAGTACTGTTATGACAACCAAATACGAGAACTTTTGCTGTCGTTAACAAATCTACAAAAGCTTGATGTCCCTGTATTGCTGTGGACGCGCTCGTACGCCGAAAGAATGAAGCAAGCCTTTGGATCAAAGATAAAGCATGTCACCATCGATGATTGTAAGATCTATGATAGCGACAACATGACACGTCAAGAGATCAAAAAAGCCGTGACTCGCGGACTAGAAGCTTGGGATCTAAGGTTTATTTACAGCTGGTTTCCTAACTTAGAAGTACTTTGCTTGCACACAAGTGTGCATAAGATTGCAAGAAAGAGCATGGTATCAATTTTGAATCCTTTAAAATTAAAAGAGTTGCATCTCGAGTTGACGCCGTACTCAATAAAAGGAAGGCCAAGAAGAAGGCGTATTGAGCCATACCCTGTGTATGAAATCATGAACTCGAAGCATTCTTCACTCCTCACTAGTCTAGAACTGAGATATCTCATCTTAACGTCAAAGGATTTAATGATACTCACGGAGAGATTAAAAGGACTAAGGAACTTAGTTGTTGGATCAATATCTTCCAAGAATACTGAGAGTGATTTCAATACAAGCCTTTGCCTGAAGTCTAGTAGTTTACGGGTCGTCTTTCTGTCTTCTTTACCCAGCTCGTGGACGACTTACATCAAGCTTGTCATGCCTGTACTGGAAGTATTAGTTATTGCCCAGTGCATGGATCTAACAGCATTGACCATCGAAGCCAACAGTTTACTAACACTTGTTCTGCGAGACAACTTCTCTCTTTGTTGCATTAACGCAAAGTGCGAAAGCTTAACGGACATACAGATTGAAGACTGCAACGAATTTACGTGGCAAAAGTTTAAGGATCTCCTCAAAGTATGTCCTTTTGTGGCGCGGATTGAACTATACACCGAGTGGAGTTCTATCCTGCTCACTGCTGACGACTGCCCTGAGCTCCAAAAACTCATCATCAGAGGTTTGAATTTCGATATGTGCCGAGTTAATATCGATTGCCCGACTCTCGAGATTTTCAAATGCATCGGACATTGCGTCCCTAGCAAGAGACAAAGGAATTCAAAATCCACAGCTTTAGATATATTGCTAAGCTGCCGCCATCTAAGGAAGATGAATATCAACGATGTTTTTTACCTCGAGAAGCTCGTCATCAACTGCCAAACGGTCGATATGATAGCTGTCAGTGGACGATCATTAGTGTCCAAACCTCTGAATGTCACTGTCAACGCGTCGAACAAAGTTGGTGAGATCTCATTACTTGAGCAAAGTGTATCGACGGTCAGCGTGAACAGCCCATCAATGGGAGAGTTTATCCTTAACGACTGCTGCCTTGCTGGAGACAACAAATGCCGATTGAAGTTTCATTGTGAGAATATCCAAGCAATGCGAGTGATAAACTGTTCCAGTGTCAAAAGGTTTAGCCTTAGAGTGCCTCATCTTGATAGTCTGACTATTGACTCATGTCCCAATATGTCCGACCTTGACGTCATCAGCGATTGGAGTACTGTACGTCAAATTAGGATCATGAACTGTCCACAGCTTAATAAGGCGAGCTGAATAACAACACTGAAAAAATAATTGAATGAAGGAAAAACTGTATTTTAAGTAAAAGGATGTAAATAATACTGATTTATACGAATAAACTTTATTTAAGAAATATAAAACGACGCGCGTGTCTCTGTCCTCTGATATAAACACGGTGGGAGTTCGAAAAACACGAGAGAAACAAGCTTAGGAACACGAGCGTAGCGAGTGTTTCTCTAGCTTCTCGTGTGTTTTTCAACTCCTACCGTGTTTATATCAGAGGACAGAGACACAAGCGGCCGTTTTATATTTCTTTTTTAAAATTTTTCGAGCGAAAAGCAAATTTTGCCGGTAAGCCGTGTGTCTCTGTCCTCTGATATAAACACGGTCGTCAGCCAATCAAAGCGCGCGTTATATATCGAAAATTTTATAAATGGTATTATATATATTAGGAATTCTTGTATTTAATTTGTTCACAATGTGCAGCGAAGCATTTTGTGGAGCAAAGCAGTTTATTCCAATTCCAGTTTCTTAAGTCCAGTTTACACTAGGCAATAAACCTGCGACCTGTCGCCTTGAAATCACGGTGAAAATACACTTGAGAAGCAAGAGAAACACTCGCTACGCTCGTGTTCCTATAAGCTTGCTTCTCTCGTGTTTTTCAACTTCCATCGTGTTTATATCAGAGGACAGAGACACGTGCGCCGCTTTATAAGGAAACGAAATTACTGCAAACATATATAACAAAGTATAATAACAGAAAAATCAAGCTATGCGTTTGGGTTATAACTTGGGCAGAATACTGTCCTTCCATGTCGCAAGTCGTGTGACTGGCCCATAGTTTACATAACATACTGTTCCTCTCATTACCTATAACAGTGCATTTGTGCGCTGAAGTTCCAATTCTTTGGAGTTTCACACGACCAACCAGGGTCCGTATGCTAGAGTGTCAGTGCCCAATCGCGATCAGCACTGAATAATAGTCACCTCCCCTATGAGAAATGAGTTGATAAAGTACAGATTTAGAGAAATATGATTTAAAATTTCAAGTACCCAAAATGCATTTCTGGCTGAGATTCTTCGATGAGTTCACCCTTTCGAGCCTGGGAACGTTTTTTAGTTAGGTGTATATCAGACTTCATATCATATTCCAACGCGATTGAGAGAGAGATCATCAGTATTCTAATATATGCACACTGGTCTAATATGACATATTCCAAAGACTAAGTTTGAAAATGTTAATTAAAATTGCTTCCTTATTTAGACTTTATTAGCAATTCACAAAGATGCTGTTGATGTGCAATAACGGCAGTTGTTCAGTTTATATTAAATCACTAACAAGAAATAATGATTATTTGAAATGTAAGAACGATTTGAAATTGAAAATAATATACCTCCTCTGTATACCCACAATATAGATAGGTTTCACAAGTTCCAAATTAATATTGGTAAACCCATATCTAGGTAAACGAGCTAGCAGCAAGTACAATAGATAGTAAGAATACTTAGCTAAGATAGAGTGTGAAATCAATGTCGTTTTTGTAATTGTAAATAGTTTTCTTCTCTTTTTCGAGACTAATTTTTTTTTTAATTATAGTGAATCAATAATAGAGAAGACATCCCAAAAGAATCGAATTATTAACGCGATATGTTTTTGAGTATATTTTCCAAACACAAAGGAAAATAATAAAAACAGTGCCTCCTTGTACAAGAACTCATAGAATTTCTTGCCCTCAGGCTAGAAGAGTTAATATCTGTCTCTTTTCATCCTTTAAATAGACATGCCATTCAAACTTAAACGCCCATTTATTAACACACTCGACATAGAATAAGCTCACTTAGCTCAACCATATATCGCAAGATGAGGACAGTCGAAACACACCGAAATCTTCCAAAGGTAAATGCTTGATAGAATATGAATCCAATGCTGTTGTCCATTTGACTTTGGTATCCTGTTTGTTGGTAATGATGCGCTGACATTTTTAGATCAATAAGCTGAATAAACATCACAATTTATATTGATCTTTAGGGATGATATATGAAAAGCAAAAGCTGCGAACCTTTTCCTTTATCTTGCTATCACTATACCGACAAAAGAAGTATATTTTTATGATAGTTCTTGTTATTGTCGTCGATCTAAATGTAGTAGACATGCAGAGTCTCGCTTTTGCAATTTCGTGCAGCAAAATAGCTTGCCAGTACACATGGAGAATGGAAGAAGATAGAACGGAAAGTGAAATAGAATTAGCTAGAAGGGAATTAAGAATTAAGAATTTAAGAAAAGAGAGAAAAAGAGAAAAAGATTTGGAGAGTAAAGAGTGAGAGACTAATATGATAATAGACTGAGAGACTGACAGGAAACAAGCAGCGAGGAGAGAACACGAATAAAACTAATGAAGGCAAGAGATGAGACACAAGGGATAGTCCGCCTGAGGCGAGAGCCGGAAAGCCTTGACATCGGATTCTACGAAATAGAACTTTGACGAAAAATTTGCTAGTTAATATGTGATTTCGGTAGTAGATCAAATTTGTGTTGATACAAAAAAAACATGTCCTAGAAAGTCAAAAAAGATGTTTATTTTAGTGTTATAATTGCATAATATAGACCTTATTAGAGTTGTAAACCTACAGTCTCTGTAGCGATGCTCACTGCTATACTCTGTTTCAAAAACTCATACATATTAAAATCATACATATTAAAACTCATACTTATTAAAACAAGACGCTTGTCAGCGTGCACTCGGGGTTCTTTTTAGTGTAGTCTCTTGGTTTAATGATACATATAGAATATGTAGTTTCATTTATTCTTGCCGTGACCAAAAAATATTCAGTCCAGTTGATAGCATAATAATTAAGACTTATATAATTTTGACTTGATAAATTTACCGCAATTATTGCAAAGAATAATAAATACTTTAATTATCAAATATAAAGTAAAACTAAAAACCTTCCTTGGATTGAAAATAGTAAAAAAAGAAAATGTATTAATAATATTATTGTTGACCAAGAATTGTCCTTATTTTGACAGACATTTGGTCCCGGATTTGGTCTAACGCAAATGCCATTCGCTGATCCTTTGTTTGCAATCCTTCGTTATTTTACCTGTACAGTTTTGTTGACAATCGACACTCGAGTCTATTGTTCTTTTATAGTAGTTAGAGCTTTGAATATCAGTAGCTTTTAAGATAGAAGGCCTGTAGTTTATGATTGGCTTTRGTCGGCTTTGAATAGATTAAAATGGCTTGCGTATCATAACTTAAGTAACAATAAGCTTGATTTATTCGCGGTATTTTTCAAAAAGCCCATTCCGAAAACGGTCGACATCCTTTAGTGTGGCTATACCGCGTGTGGATTTGTGAGTGATTTGAGCGTATTTTTTGAGAAGAAGAAATACCATACGCCCATCTACGAAGAAGCTGATGCAATTTGCACTTGAAGCATGGGACGAGACAAGACAGGCTAGGAACGCCTGGCTTTGGCGATGAATGCAAAAAAAAAATAACGCCGAAATTAATACTCGGCGTTCCACAGGAACCCCGAGTAATAAGTTATTAGGCCAGTAGAATGAGACTATTTGGTCACATGCATGGACCTTTATATCTGATAAAACACTCCTTACTAGTATTCTTTATATAAAAGCTTATATTAAAGAATACTAATAAGAATGACCTTTATCAGATATAAAAGCCCATGACTCTAGCAAAGGTGTCAGGTTTTATACCTCATCATTGACCAATGCAGGATGTCAACCGTTCTATTTTACTTTATGCATATTCAATGTGGAGCACTTTGTTAAGTGTTTTGCGCATGATCAGTTTACCCCATTTATCTCAAAACGTATTTTTATTACCATTTCTTCAAGAATTTGAGTTTGTTTCCGTTCTCTCCCTTGCTTCGAGGGTTTTTTCTCCGAGTTCTCCGGTTTTTCCTCCCTCAGCAAAAATGGAACAGATATCGGTCGGTTGGTTGGCTGCTTTGTGTGTGTGTTGTAACTATGTGATCGTCCTCATAATGATAGCGCCCTAACCGACTCGATCACGTGAGCTGCGTCCTTCGTAATTCAGCACTCGGGCTGCAAGGAAGGGCGATTAGCTACCACTAATTTATTTATTTTTATTTATTTATGTTTTTCTCCTGCACATCTCAGTCCCTCTCTGTATCTTCATTGCTGTTACGGAAGGCGTATTTTTCGTTTTTTGGATAATGGCTCTGAACAGGGTTTTTCGCCGCTTTTGGGCTTGCTTGCCGCACTGGCCTGAACGGTAATTGTGGTTTGTGATGATGCAATAACATTTCTGTTTTTCCAAAGCAGCACTTGATACCATATTCGTGGGTTAATTTTGTGGCTTGTTTGAATACTTCCCATATTATAAATTATTATCTTGACATAGTTCCATCAAATATGTTAATCATCAACTAATCAATAGCTCATTATTTTTCTAATATGAACACCGTTTTAAGTTTTGGAGAAATTATGGGATGTCCAGGGCGAAAAAGCACAAAATTTCCTGGTTTTTCATTGGTTTACTTTAAGCTCGAGTTTGCGAATTTTATAAGCAGTAACCGAAAAAGCTCTTTAACTAATTGACCACATGCGCTTTTTCAAAACTTACATGATTGAGATGATTGCTTGTGTAGAATGGACCATCAGTCAGGTTTGAAAGCCACGAAAGGTTACGGTGAAGAAGAAAAAAAATTAAAACTCATCAAAATTCATAGCGCAATTAATAGAGAAAAAAAAAACTTCAAAAGACTTAATGATCTAACTCTTGTTACCATGACAATAATTTAGTCTTTACCATCGCAATAATTTGACCGTTACCATGACAACTAATCATTACAGATGATGAGAAAAAAATTGAAATAGAAGCATTAAACTATAATAAAATCTAATAAAAAATTAGCTTTGGACCATAGTAAATGTCATTGAGAGAAGACTGACGAACAAAGGTGCGATAAAGCTGAATAGACGCAATCATTGGAGGAACCTAATACATGGTCCGTGCTATATAAACCTGATTGTCGGTTCACACGTGCCGAATTCAATCCTCACAATAATGAGGTAATAATGAGTACAAACAAAAAATAACAGTAATTTGTATTGAATTCGGCACATTTGAGACTTTAGAATAATGATTGATCCGTAAAGTCTAATATAAATTTCAATTTAAATCATGGCTTTTACTTTTACTTGAAAAACCTCGCACCACATCCGGGCTTTTTCTAAGTTTTCAGGCAGGTTGCTTAAAAGATTCACTAGGATTTGTGGCTATCTGTAAATCAGTTCAAGGACGATTTCAATGAGATATGTGACTTTTGCGCAATAAGAATGTCTTTATGAAATGATCTGAAATCCACAGTTTCGTTATATAAGCAATAACAAAAATAAATTTAGCTATGTTCCAAACTTAAATTGAATTGTGCCGAATCGTATAATTTTTAACTCAAAGCATATTATGCTTTGTTAAATCACATCATGTAAGCCAAAACAAAAGACAAAAGATTGTATAGTATCCTGTGAATCGAAAGTACTTCCCAGAGGGGCATTGATGGACATCAGCAACGAAAGCTCTTCTGCTGCAAATGGTTTGGTGTATAGCGATTTACTGATAAATATAGACACCAATAAATCGTATTATGGCAGTTTTACGTTGGTCTGTCGGCTTTATAAAGTCAAACATTAGATCTGTTCCGAATATGATCGATTGTCATCCATCGTTTGGTCGTGGGCCTTCTAATTAGATATATATCCTTATATAACAATAACATCAATAATCGATCGAAAGATTTAGTGAAGAATCGGAACCGTTTCAATGCGGGCTGCAGGAGAAGAAAAGAAAACAAATTTCCTGACATCGCAATAGGACAGCTTAAGGTATGGATTGATTTTTTCTCCCATCCATATTATATAGGCTACGGAGTTAACATGTTTTGAATCTTATGATCAATGAAAATACAGCGTAAACGAACTAGAGTATATATTTCTGAAAAAAAAGTCAGCACTGATTCCTGGCAAGCTTCAGAATAAAAGTGCAGAGCCAATGTAAAGCTTTTCCCTTTTCCATTCCAACAAAAATAGCTTTATTCTTATTTCTTACTTAAATATTTACTGAGTTTCAAACGTTATATTGGTATAAAACTGTATCGTAAGACATTCAACCGTCAAAATACTGACATTGGTCACTAATGCAATAAACCACTAACAGACAAATTAATGATCAATTTAAAGACAAGTGGCTGAGAAAATATACTAAAGTAAATATGACCTAAAATCAAGAAACATTCAAACCGTAAAAAAATCTTTTGAGAAATTGCATCATATTTCCAATACAGAATAGTGTGAGAACGAGGTGCGGAAATAAATGTACAATAACAGTGAAGTAACTAAGTCAAAAGTATAGATTTACCTTAGCAATATTACAATCAAATGTTGTACTTTAGTAAAACTCAGGGATATTACCCCCTACCGTGCAGAGGGCAATTGTAGTGGGAACTCACCCCCCCCCCCCCCCCCAAAAAAAAAAAAAAAAAAGATTACCTATATTATATATATACATTCAACTTAACAAAACCGCACTTTAGAACCACTTTTCCTAATTATTAAAATTTAAAAACAAGTTTCAAACAGGTTTTAAACAGGTTTACAGCATTTCATTTTTCAGAGTGTCATATGAATATACACATCTATGTACATAAAAAAATAATCAGACGTTTTGAGCTTTTTCAGCTGATGTGTATAGACCGATAAGTGCGATGACTGATGAGATASAGAATCGCAGCTGTACTTAGCTCACACAAATGTAAGAAAACAATCACTTGAAAACGAATAAATCAAACCAGAACAGTAAAAACTTAAAAAGCTTCTATACAGTTTGGTATATTCTAAAGTGCGAGGATTTTGTCCAAAAGTAAAAATAAAAGATAACATTTGATTTCGCTTTTTAAAAGCATTTTGGGAGTGTCACAAGCCCYGAGACATTTGCCAAGTGAAGAGATTAGCAAGATACTATTTAATTAAACCCTATACATCCATATAAACAGGCTGACCGTCTCATGATCCTCACAGATACGCTGCCGTCTTATCAAGTAAATTTGTCAAATTTAATAACTAGTCGGCGAGAGCAATCACAATTGACTTTGCACCTGTTTCGGTGTTTTTTTTTTATAAAACTAACTGATAACATGTATTATGGATTACGCTCCATTATTTCTATACCTAACCATGACTGAATRCATAGTACTCACTTACGACACAAAAGACTTTTAATAGTACAATCAAAAASAAATGGCGTAGTATGTACATTAGTTCTTGTGAGCACTAATCATTATTTACAGGTGTAATTAAAGCAATCATTCAAACTTTTTTGTGCTAAGAAACCAGTRTTTAATTTTCCTCTATTAAGATATGATGAAGACTGGCTCGATCGCCTTACAAGACTTACAACTATCAAAAATTATACTGAAATTTAAATACTCCGATTTCGAGTTTTGRTTTACTCTGTGTTAGCCTCAAAACCAAGCAACATATTCTTTTGTTTCATTGATAGCCCRAGAAAACGCATGGAATTTGAAAAGAAAGACAATAGAATTGATTTGAAATCTCACACTTTTATTTTCACAATTAGGAATATTTTGCGCACAAATGAGGCTAACACAGAGCATTGGAGAATTCGAAACTGGATTATTGATACTCGACTGAAGAAAAGTGTGTGGGGCGTGGCTACTGGAAATACAGCTTGGTGTTACGGTTTTTCTTTTAGTAAACGCAGTATGGGGTGCCTTCTCACATATAAACATTAGCTTAATGGTTCTGCAACACGATGTAGGAAATAAGTATAAACTGTTGTCAGTATTATACGGAAGTCCATAATTCGTCCATGCAGTAGTTCTCTATACTGACCCCCAAGTCCTCAAATTTGTTCCAAAAATGCTGTTTAAGTGAGAGTTTGCAAAAGAGGAAGAAAGGCAAACAGCAATTGAAAGCAGAAAGGTGCTAATTAGGGATTGTTTTGACCATCCATCTCTTTGTCATTAAGTCGAAACATGAAAAGTATTGCTATTACTCCAAAAGGCATATCATTTGCTGCTATTTTTGTTCATGTAGTCAGGGAATGTTGGAATAACTGCCAAATCTGAAAGAGATTTCACTATTCCTTGTGTGCATTGTTACGTAACTGAGATTTACTGCTTAATGTTTGGTAACCTCGCMTTTTCGACTTAATGTAATTTGTCAGTCTTGAGCACCATRCAAGTTTCTGAAGTTTCTGATAGGAATTTATTATGAATAAGGCAGCACATTGCATATTCAACAAGAGACTCAAGCAAATCTAAATATCTTGTATCGACAAGAAGCTTCATGAGACTTCAAACTTAGCAATGGGAAGGATTTGAAATATGTTTTGTAAAACACTTTTTGAGAGTTGAAAGATCAGTACAAATTCATGATCACGCAGCTTGTRTTTATCAGCGAGGATGRCWTTAGAGAAGAAAAGAAGATTCGTACTGCACGATTATGGTCTTGTGTGTCCGAGAACAATGGATGTTATGGTAATCCCATCTTGCAGAAACAATTCTCCATAAAAAAAGTAAAAGACAATAAATAGTTCATTAGACACTTTCTAAGAGGAAAAAACATGAAAATTAAAGCTTTGAATAATTAACTAATAAYAAAGTAAAGATTGGGATGGGAATCGAGTTACTATTTTTAGACAATAACATCAATGTATTGACGGTATTGGTTGAAAATCATGTAGTCAGGCATTGGTTGCGCAAGAATATCATCAACCTTGGATGTTCGTCTTAAGTATGCTATATATTTTATTCCTTAAAATAATCATACAGTTGTAAATTAATCCGCAGAGACCACAAATTGATTTGGCGGCATTAATTTGCACTGTCAGTGTCTGATCCTTTAGGCGTTTGATTTCAACTGCTATCACGAGCAGAATATTTACAGATTTCAACTCTGATGGTTATCGATATTTCACCACGCAAACGGCTACGCAAGATTCAAACCAATTCACTTCCCTTTGGTCACTTGGTCATAATACAGTACATCGTGTAATATTAGGTCAATTAATTCAATACTGGACCTGCGAGCGATGGACCTTGTGGCGCATTGACGAGGTCTTCATTGAATGGTGTTGTCAGTGACTGCAATGAAGACAAATACYTTTTTTGTAAGTAATCAGGGACATGCAATGATATTCATAGGAATGTGTGATTTTTTTTCATCCTTGGAATTAAAAATACATCGTACAATTGACATAATGAACAACCAATAGGAACTGTCGACAAATTTGGCATGAATTTAGTTATTATTTGTAAGCTTTACACAATAATTCGAACTGCGCATTTTGTTCAAAACGTCATCTTTCCTGACCTTGGTGCTTTGTATATCTTAAAAATGATGTTGTTGTGAGTTTGTCTGTTTTTGTGAGCATATCGCGSCCAAACTGTTTCTAGTACAGACGATTTCACATGAAAATACCCTAAATGTGCTGCATGCAAGTGCTGTGTATTTTAGGACACATCTGATATGAAACGCCTTTTTGATATATTGATTTAAATTATCAAAAGATCAATAAAGGCAAGTTYCAAGGGATTATGGAGAAAGCCATTTCGRTGATTAAACTTCACGGCCATTTTATTTTTGAAAATGACAGCAGATTAATATTCACCAGCTTATAACCAAAGACTGTTCCAATACTTTATTTGTAGGGTTAACAAGGTCGTTTATTGGTGAAGGGTATGTTTACGAATAAGAACTTCCGTGTTTTAATTGATAGTTTACATTCCAAGGTTCTTAAATCACAATTAGATTTATAGAGGAAAATTAAGGTGTCTTCGTTTTGTCTAAAAATACCATAAAATCGACTTAATGTATATGATGACCATTCTGGAAAAAAACTTGATACAGTCATCCGATAGTCAGGAGTTGATGCAATATTCTTGTTTACTGAGGTTGAAGACGTTAAAGTAGCTTTCAATTCAATGCTAACCTTGACTTTCAATTGGATACAGTTTTGAATGTGTTGAAACTAGAAAGTGCTACATTAATGATACAATTAAAGAAATATGGAAGAACAAAGAACGAAAACAATGTCGAGCTTGCGGTACATAAACAATTTTCATGATACAAAAGGAAGGAAAAGCACAATTTAGAATTACGAACAAGAAAGAAGCAAGAAATTCATAGAAATTAACAATAAAATATGACACCTTGCATGTTCCTTCCATCGCTTTCAAGATTTCCTCAGCTTCTGGTTTGCTAATGGTAAACGATGAGAAGATAAATAATTTGCATAACAAGTGAAGTAAGCTATCTCTCGATGTCAGGCCTCTTGGAYATACATATATCATACATCATGGAAAAGCCGAATTATCCACTGTGTGACTGCGCGCACACATCAAACATGCTTTTCAACTGCGAATAATTGACTTTGCTTGAAATGCTGTAGAGAAGTTGGGCTTTTCGCTTTTTTAAAGGTAATTCGATTTGAAATATTGCGAGTTTTGTTCGGGTAAAGTAAGGTATTTGGCTAAGTGTCTTGACTATTATCAGCATTACCGCTGCGCAGTACTTAATGGTTTTAAKTGAACCTCATCAACGCTCTGCGGTTGCCACGGTGACAGAAGGTGAAGGTAGAGTTTAAGATGTAGAGACATCACTAACATATCGACAACAGGCACAATCACTGTCTCGTTTTAAGGTAAGCTGATGATAGGAAAACTGAAGTCACTGACCACATAAATTAAGGCAGCATGCAGTGATTTGACAACAATAACACCAAAGTGCTCTATATAAGGTTTAGAAAAAAAACACCCTTTTTGCGATATAATGGTTTGTGTTTGATAATGCTGTCTTTACACCTG